TTGAAGTTTAGATTACATGTTGGGCCTTCAGAAATCTAATGGAAATTCTAGTTTTCATCTTAGTGTAAATCATAAATTTATTGTGAGCTTTCAATCATAATAGTTTGAACATTATAGATTAATATGTTGAATAATATTATGAAGCATAGCAATAACCAACAGATCAGTCACATCTTATCTTTGACATCAAATGCCTAATTTTCCAGGGGCTTGCTAATTTTTTATTATGTTAGAACACTTACATAAACTGTTCCTTCAACTTTGAGTAGTGGATTTCTCAGAAATGTTTGCATTTCTCCTCTCCCTCCTTCTCCCCCTTTTCAGCCTCTGGGGAGGAGAGACGTACATTTAGTCACACTTACATGTAATAGAGTTTAGTGTGTGTGTTTTCCTCTAACTGCCTCCAGAGCCAGCCAGCTGTTTTTACAGCCTCACTCCAGCTGCGTAGCAGTGAGTAAAAGTATTTTGTGGCAAGATGTCAACATTGGTACAAGAAAATGCTTGCCTCCAAGCAGTTGCTGACCTGATGGCAGAGTCATTAACACTACCACTTCCAAATCCAGCTGTTTTGAGAGACCGTATGTCTGGCAATAAATTAAAATAACAGTAAAAACTAGCTTGAAGTACCATTGATTGAAAAGTTCAGATTAAATGAATTGCTAGCTGTTGGGTTTCTCAAGACCAACTAGAATGCAGCCTACTATAATGTCAATATCAGGAACTAGGTTAACACGGCCTTTTGTAGAGTCAGAATTATATACATACAACACTTTATATAAAGAGGACATGGTGTAATAAAATGTTTGATAAGGGAGCTCCTTACAGTACTTACAAGTTGTAAGCTGTTGATTCTAACATGTTATTAAATGTTGAAATATGATTTTTTAAAAAATAAAGCCACATAATATGCAGTTTTCTTTGAAGGTTTCTCTTTGATAATTGTAAAAACTGAAAAAAAATTCAAGTGGCAAAGTAGGTTCAAAAGCCAAATGAGAGTTAAGGAAATTCTGCTCTCTAGCATATGTCTGCATTGTAAGTTCTGTTAAATGTTTCCTGTTTTGATTTATCTTTATCATCGTGCAAATAACAAAAAAAAAAATCTAGACTTTCAAAAGGGGAACACTCTAGACCAGTCAAGTACTTTATCTGTGTTGAATAAACAGTGTTGTCTATTATAGCAAGAAAGTATGTGTTGTTGTTGTTAAGTGCTATCAAGGTGGTTCTGACTCTTAGTGACCCTGTATAGTGTTTCCAAGGAATGGTTGGTGAGCTTGAACTGCCGACCTTGAGGTTCTAACAAGCTTGTAGTCCAGTGTATTAATCCACACCATCATACTAGAACTCCAGACCAATAAAGAATTTTATCTGTGTTGAATAAGCAGTGCTAATTGTCTATTATAGCAAGAAAGTATATAGATAGTTACTAATAGATGAGGATTTTTAGGTTCCAATTCATTTAAATTTCTTTTTTTTGCATGATAAAAGGTTGTGTCCCTGTTAAAAGTGGCAGAAAGGAAGGAATGCTTATATACTGCTCAAAAGCACATGTTCATATGCATTTCAAAAATTAATTTAACTATATGATGTTTAAAACATGTCAGTAATATATTCACTTGTAGAATTGCTTTGATTGTATATATGAGGGGGCTTCCAAAAGTTGATGGAAAAATGGAATGAAAAGATAATGGAATTTTTCCACAAACTTTTGAAGCCTTTCATATTTACAAATTGCTACAGAACCTATGTATGTTTTCTGCAGGGTCGGGTTTTTATGTGGGACCTGAAATTTATAAAATTTGGGAATCATCTTAAAAATAAGGTGAGCATGCAAATAAGAAATTAGATACAGGCCCCAGAAGGGATCCATGTAAGTGAAGGGCATTGAAGTTTAAGGTGCATTGGCTTCACCATGAACTCCCCTCTAGTAAGCTTCTATATTCAGAATCAAGGAATCTGGGACTGTACTAGACTTGGGAGAAGTCTGACCCAAATACTGTATTTCATAGAAACACAGGCAAAAAAATCGCTTTGTCCACAATGGCATAGTTTACTTAAGAGTAAGTCAAGTCTAGAATTGTCACCCTTTGTCTTTTAATCCAGTAAGTCTTTCCTTTTCCTCATGTCTTAGCTACTAAATCCATTATATAAATGTTGTTATTGTTAAGTTCCATTGAGTTGGTTCCAACACATAGTGACCCTGTATAGGGTTTCCAAGGAATGACTGGAGAGCTTGAACCGCCAACCTTGTGATTCAAACTGACCTTGCAGTCCAGTGCATTAACCCACAGCACAACACCAGGATTCTCATTAGATAAATTGTTGTTATTAAGTGCCTTTCAGTCAGTTCCGACTCATAGCAACCCTAAATCTCAAGTTTAACTATTAATCAAGTTTATTTTTTTAATAAATTAACTTGGTTACATGGCAAAGGTTTACTCTTAGGGAAATATAACTGTGTGAAATTGTTGGATTTCTGATTTATTACTTCATTAATTTTGCATATGATTCCTATGCATCACAAAGCAAACGCTTTTCATGATTTTATCTAGTTGGGAAGAGGGGTGGAAAGAAAAAGAAGTCAAAAAAAGGTTAGAACAATTTCAAGAGATTTAATTTTGTTTTTTCCCTTTTTATAATAATCTCTGTCTTATGTTCATGAAATAAATTATGAATGAAACTTTAGTTGATTTTTCTTTTAAGATGGATTGTCATTGTTGTTGTTGATAAGTGCCATCGAATTGGTTCCGACTCATGGCAACCCTGTATAAGGTTTCCAAGGAGAGAGAGACTGATGGGTTTGAACCACCGACCTTGCGGCCCAAACTGACCTTGCAGTTTAGCGCATTATCCTGCAGCACCACACCAGGACTCCTTTGCTAGATGTGAGCGATTGCCATATGAGATACAAAATTATTTTGCAATTGTCAATGAAGCATGATTATGAATCATGAAACTGTTGCCAGAACACCTACTAAGGTAGAGTTGCTTTTAGAGTTATCTTTTAGCAGAGTTCAGTTGGATTAAACTTCGAATTCATGTACCTTTTCAAGAGAATGGGTGTTCACCATGATATGCTGTTCTTTTTTCCATTTCTTGTGTGGGCCGTGCCTGAAATGTTCACTATGTGTTGACAGATTCCCCTTTTGGGGACCTGTGCTAGTTTCTGTTATGCTCCTATCAGTGATAACAGCACAGTTTCAGCTCCAGTTGCTTTGTTGACCAATGTTATTTCCTATTTCAGAAGTGCCTAGCTGCCACTCCATTTATATGAGGCAAGAAGGTTTTCTGGCTCATCCCAGCAGAACAGAAGTTAAGTTTTATATTATTAAAATTTCTTGTAAATATCTTTCATAATTATCACTATCTAATCTATGGGAAAATCATCATGTTTCACTAACCATTATTTTAAAACGTTATCTTTTTAAAGGAAAGTTGGATTTTTCATGTCATGATACCTTATATTTGGTTGTTAACATGAATCATACTAAAAAGTGGATTTCTGTGTTCTTTCTTGCTAATAACCACATCCTTTAAAACTAGAACTTATGCTTTATAGATTAGCACTTTTCTGCACTCTACTGAAATGCATTTTCTAGGGATATTCCATTTTATCCTACATAACTAAGCCACAGTTTTAAAGTATAAAAAAGAGTAAATATATAAGTGAACTCATATCATAAAGATCCTGGATTTTACATTTTTGGATAAGTAATTCTTAAGTAGGAGTTTTCATGTAAGAGGCCTAGAAAGGAGTGTTTATTGTGGATGTGTTTGTGGTAACCAAGGAGGGAAAGCTTTTTTCTAATGGAATTTGATATCTGTAAAGGAATGGATAAGAATTATTTCATCTGAGTTTAATCCTCATTAAAGTATTTCTGGAAAGACGTTCATGGTTTCTGAACTAAACACCACATCTTTTCAGTAACACGGACTTAGACCTAACCTACTAGATTAGGTCTAATATTTAGTATTTTGTGCAAATAATAGTAATGCAAATAAATCCCTGTGTTAAAAGAATAATATAATGAAATGAAGCAGTACTGGTGACACAGAGGTTGAGCACTGGGTTCGTAACTAAAAGGTTGGAGGTTTGAACCCGCCAGCCACTCTATGGGACAAAGATGTTTTTCAAAAGAATCGAGCCTTGAAATCCCAGTGGAGCAGTTCTACTCTGTCTGTAGTGTGTCTGTGAGTTAACTTTGACTCCTTGACAATGGGCTTAGTTTAGATAACGAGATGGTAAATACAATTACTTAATGAGACTGAAAGTCTTATACATTATTATTGTTAATATATGCCCATCATAGAGACCAATACATTTGAGAAACCAAACTGTGACTAAGCTATATATAATTGCTTTATGTTGATTAAAGATAATAGTAATTATCTTAAGGTCCAAAATCAAGAAAATGGGAGGAGGAGAAAATGATTGTCCAAAAATTAACAGTTTTTTAAAATTTCAATATGTTGGCTATTGATGATGAAAACTTGAAAATATTTGCTTAAGGTAAATAAATCTACAAAGAAGTAAAGGTGAAAAGCAAATCTGCTTTAGATCATCAGGGAAATAATGAAGACAAATATCCATAATTCACCTTGATTTCCATGTCTTCTCCTTGAAAACAGAAATTTGGAAGGAACTGAAAAAGGAGAGGCTATATATTGTGAATCCTAGGTGTACCAGTTCTCCCGTGAACTCTGCCTAAGTTAATAATAATATGAATAGTACTAATGTGTATCATTGTACGCTAGTCACCATTTTAAACTTGCAGTAGTTTCCCTCACAACAAATCCATGAGGTGTAGATGCTGTTATCATCATCTCCATTTTATAGATGAGGAAACCGAGACACTGAAAGGTTAAAAAGCATTTTCAGGGTCACCAAGATAAAAAACGGCAGAGCTATTTTTATCACAATTTTTGTGCTAAGGTTTCTATTTTAAATTGTTTGAGAGGTTCATTTTGATAATGAATAAATGTGTCCCATTTTCTCATTACAGGCTGTATGTTTGAAAAAGGCCCGAGGCAATTTTATGATGACACCTGTGTTGTCCCAGAGAAATTTGATGGTAGGTTTTGCATTGTGATTCAAGTTCTGAGTTTTCTAAAAGGGAATGGAGAGCTCACCTGTGCTGCTTCTGAAAACAGTTGACATTTCTACACACATCATTTCGTATGCACTCATTTCTAGTTAACCTTCACCTCTCAGGAATGCTTTTTTTCCTTTCCTCATTTGGAAGCTTTTTTTCTTTTGTCCTATACAGATGCGGTCATAGAGATATATATATCCAAAGAACATCTTTCTTGCTGAGGTTTCTGTAGAGTAAGAGCAGGCTTTCCATTGCCCTGATGAGCACATGCTGCTTGTTATTCGAGATTTATTGAAAACTGATCCTGTAATTAACAAAGCAGAGCAGAAAGCATGCGACAGTGGATGCACTGATGACTAATGCAGGCTCCTTGCTTTTATTGTTCATGAGAAGATGCATTATGGAACACAAGAACAACATAGCTAACCATTTAGTTACTGTTTTTTAGTCCCTCTTTGTTTTCCTCCATTCCTAGGAAGATGTACATTACTAATATGGCATTACTTTGTAATTGCTTAAAGTGGAGTTAAGGGGAAAGCATTGCCTCTTAATATTACTCACTGCTGCAATGAAAAGGTCTCAGATGTTAGAAAGGGATGTCAAGTTTGATAGAACTTTCTTTTCTTGACAAGGGTGGCAGAAGTCGGCTTCTATGAGGAAGCGGGGGTAAAAAGTGAAAAGCTAATTGATTTACTGGTTCTTCAGAGTGGTCTCCGTATTTCCTGTTTTGATTGTTTAACAGGAAACGAGCAGGGGCCCTCTGATTAGCTGATTGCACAAACTTTGGGGATCATGGCTGTAATGACTTGGGAGCGCTCAGAAGTTTTAATTGCCATTATTTAAGCAGCAAAGTACTTGCATGGATTGCTTTTTAATCCCTAATTAGTTTCTTGAAGACTAGTCTATGTTCCCAAGCGTTTTGTTATTCTTACACTTCTCAGAAGAGATGGTAAGTCTTTGGGAAGATCTGCTTCCTTAGCCTCCCTTTAAATTGCTAACTGTATTCAAGATCTCATAGTTTAAAATCCCACCAGGGGTCACTTTTTCTGGCTTTGTACTACAATAGATATTAGTTTTAAACTTTGAGTTTCAGAGGTGTGAATTGTGTTATTTAGCACCATTAACAGACAATCACAGTGATTAAAATACAGCTTTTTCTCTTGAGACAAAGAATGAATCTTCTACCACTTGGAAGGATTTTCATCAGTTTCCTTTATTCTTAGAAAGTTTGTATGTTAAATGTTGAAAATTAGAAAGTGTATGTAAGGAAGCAAAGTACTTCCTCAAGTATGTAAGATTTAATATAAAATTAGGATGAGCTATAACAGGCTGGTGTTACTTACTGCTAAGGAAATCTGCCTTGATTATTTATTCCTTTTGTTTTAATACCCTTCATTTTATACTAAGAAAATGTTTGTTTTTTAAAAAAATAGTATATGTTTTGTACTTTATAAGTACATTTATAAGAGAAGAAGAAAAAGTGATTGGCACTTTTCATTGTACATGGACAGTATGATCACATTTATTTGTATGTTTTTTTGATCAGTCACATTTATAGGCAGAACCAATCTAGAGATTATAAAAGTTGACAGTGTTTCATACTATCTGCATAATTGCTCAGCTACTCTGTTAAAAAACAGTAAATCTCAGAAGGAAAATCTGTGACAAATAAAACATTGAAATAATATGAAGAGACCAAAAACAACATGATGATTTTTTAGCAGTTATTGACTGGGTAATTTAATAGTTTTGTGTAGCTTTTAAAAAAGTTATTGCTTCCGTAACATATCAGCACAGAGGTATATTTCTCTGTACTGAACAAACAGTGTTTTTAAAGCATTTGATTTTAGTTTATGATTGACACTTGGTGTAAATAGATCGTCTTGAAAACAACTGCCTGAATTGTTTCCTAAGTTGAGAAGTTGATGCATCAGCAATGATATACTTGTAGAGTTCTACACATTCAATCCTTCATGAAACCAATTCTACCTATATTTGAGATAGTTGATGAGAAGTAAATAATCCATAAACATGGACCTGAATCTGTTTTGGTGTAATCAAGATAACTGACAAAATTCAAGCCAAAAGTATTACATATGAAGCAGTCCTGGTGTGGTTGTTGTTAAGTGCTGTCGAGTCAGTTCCAGTCCGCATATACGGTTTCCAAGGAGAAGCTGGTGAGCTTGAACCACTGACCTTGCAGTTCACACGACTTTGCAGTCTGACACATTAGCCCACAGTGCCACACCTAGTGTGGTACTGTAGGATAAATATTGAACTGCTGACCACAAGGTTGGCAGTTCAAACCCACCACCCGCTCTTTGGAAACTGTATACAGGTTTTGATATGAGTCAGAACTGACTTAGTGACACTTAGTAACAACAACATTTGCATGTTTTCATTTGCTGCCAGTTAAGCAATTGCTACGGAGTCTTGGTGTGGTGTTGTTGGATAAGTATTAGACCATAAGGTTGGTTTAAATCACAAGGTCAGCAATTCAAACCTACCAGTCGCTAGGAAACTCTATACAGGGTTGCTATGAATCAGAACCAACTTGGCAGATTTTAAAACAAGAAGAAAGTGATAGCACTGTTATGAAAGTGTAGCAGGATGGTTGTACTGATGTCCCTGTGCACAACAGAATGAAACACTGTCTCAACCTGCACCATCAGCACAATTGTTGTCACATCTGAGCCCATGTTGCAGACATTGTGTCTGTCCATCTCATTAGGGTATGCCTCTTTTCCGCTGAGCCTCTACTTTCCCAACATGGTGTCCTTTTCCAAAGACTTAACCTTCCTAATAACGTGACCAAAGTATGTGAGAAAAATCTCACCATCCTTGTCTCCTAGAAGCATTCACATTCTGGCTGAACTTCTTCCAAGACAAATTTGTTTATTCTTTTGGTGTCCATGGTAGATTCAATTTTCTTCTCCAACAACTACAACTCCAATGCATTGGTTCATTGTCCAGCTTTTGCATGCATAAGAGGCCATAGAAAATACCATGGTAATCTCCCTCTAAAAGGGTGATTTATTTTTATTTTTATTATTATTAAAATTAATTCCCACTCATGGCAGATCGCCTCATCTTTCTCCCGTGGAGCGGCTGGTAGTTTCGAACTGCTGACCTTCCGGTTTGCAGCCCGATTCGTAACCACTACGCTACCAGAGTTAGGTGAGATGATTTTTAAAGGAATCATTGAAAAAATTACAAAATTTTGTTAGTAAAGGACATTCGTGAGTTTATTCTGTAGTTCATGTGCTTCAGTTGACTTGTATATGTAACATAGTGGTTACAAATAGGGCTGGTAACCTCAAGGTCAACAGTTCAAAACTACCAGTCCTTCTACAGGAGAAGGATGAGGCTTTCAGCTCCCGTAAAGATTTACAGCTTCAGAAACCCTATACAGGGTTACTATGAGTCGGAACTGATTTCAAGGCACACAACCAACCAACCAACCACCGATGTTTTATACATGGTTAAGTGCTGTGGACTTTGTTCTGGCTCATAACAACTCTGATTAGAGTTTCTGTGGAGTAGCTGGTGAGTTTGAACTGCTAACCTTGTGGTTAGCAGTCCAGTCAGCACTTATCCTACAGCAGCAGCAAACCAGGAGTACAGTTGTTGTTAAGTGCCCTGGAGTCCATTCTGACTCATAACGACACTGGATAAGGTTTCTGAAGAGTGGCTTCTGAGTTTGAACCCAACCTACAGCGCGACACCTGTTGTTGTTATGTGCCGTGGAGTCGGTACCGATTCATAGCGACCCTGCACAGGATTTCCAAGGCTGAAAATCTTTACGGGAGCAGAAAGCCTCATCTTTCTCCCGCGGAACAGATGGTAGTTTCAAACTGCTAACCCTAAGGTTAGCAGCCCGACTCGTAACAACGAGGCTACCAGAGCTCCTTACAGTGCGACACCTGGACTTCCAATAAAACTCAGTAAAGTGGTCCTGGTTTAACCATTTTATTGGTTGAGTTAATGTAAATTTTATGTAAATGATATAGCTGACAATAGAAACATAGAAACTCTTTTTTTTTCTTTTCAAAATATAGGGGACATCAAACAAGAGCCAGGAATGTATCGGGAAGGACCCACGTACCAGCGACGGGGATCCCTTCAGCTTTGGCAGTTTTTAGTAGCTCTTCTGGATGACCCTTCAAATTCCCATTTCATTGCCTGGACTGGTCGAGGCATGGAATTTAAACTGATTGAACCTGAAGAGGTTAGTTCAATAAAATTTAATTAGGAAAATCAGATATGTTACAAGATATACTGATATTTAATTACAATGGTAAAAAAATACTTTTTTTTTAATGAACTTTAAAGAAGCTTGCTGAATTAATAAAATAAAATCACAAAACCTCAAAAATTTCTATATTTAAAACCACAAATTATTTAAGAGTTGTATGTTTGTTCCAGCTGAAACCTCTCCTACAAAATTTATGTGGGGGGAAAAAAATCATTAGCATAAGCCTTTATTTAAGCATATTTGGCTTCTGTTAAGATCATCTAAATTGGAGAGCTGAATGCTTTTAGAGACTGGCCAATGGGGGAAAGTCTACTGAAGTTCATCTAGTCTAAGAATGGAGGGATTGTTCTTATGATATAGCAGCCATTATTTGTATAACCTGGATTTTTATCAAAAGAGTTGAAGAAGAAATTTACAAACCAAACACATATGCAAGAGGATATGAGCGAGGAACAGTTGTGGATAGCAATGACACACAAAAACTGTAGTAGAACAATCTAAGCCCTAAAGTGTCACTTCAAAGACACAAGACTCATAGAAATATTGTTTCCCTTTGATTGCTACTGACATCTGTCCTAAGCCAGCTGGGCTTGACGTATCAAACAGCTTGGGTCAACCATCTTAGAATACCTTTTGAAAAGTAGGCATGAAGTCTATTTATAGTATTACTTGGTATAAATGAGATAATATCTAAATGAGAGGACTCCTGATAAGCAAAGATAATACAGACAAATTGAATACACACAGAAATGGAATAGCTCCATGAAGATTTTAAAATTTCAGTTACTGTTTCCAAGGCTAGCTTTAGGTTTAAGGTTACTGCTGTTACTCTAGCATAAACCATCAATAGCATTTTGAACTTCCAGAGAAAGTGATGGCCACATGTAATATTTAAAATATTAAAGATCATTTCTATGGAATTACTACAGTTGACTTCATTGTATATTGAAAGAGTGTGATTGGAACAGTGGGTTAAGGGTTGGACTGCTATCTACATGGTCAGTGGTTTAAATCCACCAACTGCAACATGGAAGAGAGAAGAGGCAGTTCTTTTAGTCTTGGAAACTTTACAAAACAGTTCTACTCTGTCCTATAGAACTGCACTAGTAATACTACAAGGTTAGCTTTGCCCATCAATAAACACACACACACACACACACACACACAGCACAATAGCAGAATTTGAAGGATCTGTTTCCTAGTGCTGGCTAAATGTTTGGGTATTTGAATTATGTAGTGTGTCTAAAGTTTAATTTAGCTGTCAAAGGAAATTAGTTTTTATGTAGATTTGCTTAAATGATATAAGTGAAATAACTGCAAAAAATGTGAAGCATTAACGAATATGACTAGAAACACTTAACATAAAAGTAGTTTGAAAGCCCTGTAATGTGATGGGAATGTGTGCTCTTCTCCTCATGAAAGATGTTAATAATCACTGCAAGAACTGACTCATGCTTTAACTGAGTACATTCAACAGGAATGCCTATCTGTTCAACATTTATTTTCCTCCACCTTTAATGAAAATAAACTGAGCAGAAAGAGATTAGAAAAATGATGCTGTATATTCATTCAGATAGAGGAATTAATGAATTATGTCAGTTGTTATTGATCCGCTCAGAAGAGCAAAAAATAGTTCTTTATATGCTGTTCATTTTTATGATGATAAAGCAAAATAAAGAGACTTGACCAGATGACCATTAAGTATCTTCTGAGGCTGAATTTCTGTGGTTTGTCAAAGCAGGAAAAAAAATTCAATTACATCTGTTCCATACAACAAACTAGCATTTAGACAAGTAATCTGTAGCAAACTCATAATATAAAAGAGGACAAGGTACTTCTAATTCAGTCTGTAGACTTTTTCCAAATAGTAACTAGCTCAATGGAAATTATGCAATAAGTGCTAACTGTCTTCTCCTAAGGCTTCTGCTCAAATTTAAACATTCCATTTCTGATCACTGCATTGCTCGCTGTTACTGTTGCTTCCAATTAGACAGATAATGACTACACTATTTTGTTTAAATTTCATTGTTGGAAAGATTTTGTGAATTTTCTTTAGTCCATATGGCCCACAGTCACCTTCTATGCTCTACTTCAGAATAGCTCTTTAGGTGTTCTGTGTCAGTACAGTTCATGAACGATGCCTCTGAAGCCATCCTTCTGTTGTAACTACGAAATGGTTACCTTTCTGGAACCACAGCTTGTAGTTTAGAATGCTGTCGATTGAGACCCCAGGCTTGCACTGTTTGTTGTCTCTGAGTGTCTGGATGAGTCTAGCAAAAAAATATCTGTAATCTCTCTCTCTCTCTCTCTCTCTCTTTTGGAGGACATTTAAAATAAGGAGACATTATTGTGGAATTCATCATAGGTCCAGAGAACAGTTATCACCATAGTAATACTTCTATAGGAGTCCATTTAAAAAAATAGTTTCTCTGGCTTGTTGAGCCAGAAAAGTTTCCAAGAAGTCTTCCAAGAGATTTTAAATGGTGATTTAGTGTTCACTGTTGCATGTTTAAAAATAAGTTGAATGATCCTTGACCTATTACATGTTCCCATTCATTTGCTAATAGGAATGAATGACACAGTGCCATTATCTTTCAATCTTCTTGTTAATAGCCTGTTTTCACTTGAAGGAGTATAATTAGGAAGTCACTGGAAATGTTACCATCTTTTCCACTCCTTGTTGAGAATTGTGTCTTGACTTTCAGTGATCAGCTGAGAGAACAGAGTGGACTTTCTTAGTTCATTGTAGTTTACCTTCCTTGGGAATTAGTGATCTCAGCTTGTTAATTTTAAGGTTCACTCTTGTCTGCATGTCATAGGCATATTATATTGGCACACTCCCCATCATCCAACTATTTGAAAAACACTGAAACAACTCTGAAAATAATTTTGTTTAAGAATGGTTATTAATATCCACAATGCCAAAATATTAATAGGCATCATAGGAACCAAACTCTGTTTATGGTATTAATAAAAAGATTTTCTTTAACTCCCCAGAGATTTCCATAATGTTGTTTTAAAGTTTCATGGTTGTGTTATCTTTTCTAGATACAGCCTGGTGAGCTTTAAAGTAGAAGCATGTAATAAATGAATAAGTATTTGGAAATTGATTTTTAATTTAAGGAGATTTTAATAAATGATTTCACAGCCTCTCCAGGTCCACATTCTGCTCAGCTGACATGTTTATTACAGATTCACTGGTGTCCAGGGTCAGATTTTTTCAAGTCATTTTTCTTCAAAATTGTTGTTTTCATGTGTTATTTCTACCTTCCTATTTCACTGTTCAGAACATTTACATTAAAATATGGTCTTTGCAAATTAGGATGGATGGACCTGCCAATTCTACTGTCTGCTGTTACGTCACACCTGGCTACTCTTAGAAAAGCATACTGATGCTTATCAATAAAGTATATTGGATCTCCATTCAGAGAATATAAATCAGTGAGAGAGAAAATAGCAAGAAATAGTATTTAAAAAACAAACAAATCTGGAAACAGAGTATTACTAGGAAAATAAGAGAGAAAGAATGATCTCTGAAAAAGCACTGTTCTTATGTTTGTGGCATCGCAACTTGGAATTTCATGAAAATGAATGAACGCACTTACCAACTTCTTGGGGTTGCCTAAATTTGCCTGGCAGCTGTAGTCTCTGCTTAGACTAATAAAAAGTGAAAATTAAGGAGAACATGACTTGGGGAGCAAAAGTAGCCTCCTTTATTTTGTATAAGCTGATGGTGGTGGTGTAGCAGAGATATGCACTGAGGTGTCTTACAGTAAATTTTAGGAATAAATGTTTTGAAATCAAGGAAATTTTCTTAAAGCTCTGTTGAAGCACTCTCTTTTCCAGATAAATTGCTGCTCCACAGGCACATAGTAAAAGCTCTGAGCTTTCTCAATAAACAATTAAGTAGATAGAGATTTTTGTTTGTAGACTCATATACATGGTGACCTTTTCCACTTCCTCCTTTTTTTTTAGTATCCAATTACCGTTCTCTAAATGAATGCCTAATTCCCCAGTTTAGTATTGGCTACATTTTTATTCTGATATTGCTTCAGGCAATAAAAATTATTTGCAGTTCAGTTTATTTATTTGTATACTGTTGCTGTTTCCTCTGCTGCCCACAATACACCCTTGTTCACTCTTCTATATCGTGTTGAGCAAGAGCTCTTTCTCCTTGGTTTTTCGTAACCTCAATAAAGCATCTTTACAACAGAATGGCTAAACTGCACTTGATGTATAGTTTTTATCCGAAAAAACAAGGACAGGAAAAACAGATAGTGTATCTCTCATTCAGAATGGAAAACTTGCCTCACTCGGGTGAATCACAGACTATTCATTCCCATTATAAACACATTCTCTTATTCCCATTAATTTTGTGTCCAAAACAATAGTGACAAAGAATCCTATTGTGATAATTCAGAGCGATTGCTGCAGGCCTGATTTAAAAAGCAAACCAGAGCACCGGAAATTCAGATCACGCCAGCTTTCGCTTTTTATATCTTTAATTTAGATACGTTTGGGACCTTTTGGAAGCAATTAATCAATTAATTGTGTGAAATATGTTGATAAACTAACACCTAACATTGCAATGTAATTCTGTTTTGCTGCCAGGTGGCCCGGCGATGGGGCATTCAGAAAAATAGGCCAGCTATGAACTATGATAAACTTAGCCGTTCACTCCGCTATTATTATGAGAAGGGAATCATGCAAAAGGTGAGCAGCTAATACAGCATTAAAATTCATTGAAATGTTTCACATTAATCTGCATGTCGTACTTTAAAAGTCGCATATCGATGCATTGCTGAAGCAAGGTTTTCCTCATTTTAGTAACTGCTTACCTCTTGGTTTTGATATTACAAGCCTTTCTATTTATAAATGCATGGACATGGTAGACAAATGTGTAATCATATTATATACAAAAGAATAGGGTTCTGAAGTACCTACTTTTCTGCATATGGTAAGAAAAAAGTTGTTTCAGTGCTAAAATTTCATGTGTATATCTCCAAAAGAAGTTATCATTCTATTACGTTCTCTACAGTTCTGTATTTTTGAAGCAGTTTGGAGATTCCAATAAAAAACAAATAATGTAATCTAATACCTAAGTTATTGTCTTTTTTCTTTTCTGATTTTTTTTTTTTTAATTTGTGTGTTGTTACGTCTATCAGCCTTGCATGTGCATTCAAATTTAATTTCCTTGAGTGGGAACCAGGTTTATGATTTGTCAGTTGTATACATTATAGTTTTATTACATGTCTTTGGTGGGTTTTGGTGAATATGGATATAGTTATGTATTACACTGTAGCATTAAAAAAAATATATTCCTATAGTTACCCACCCAAAATTAGACCTGTTGCCACATGAGGCTTAATAGAACAGAGTGGAACAGCATCCTCAAGCTAAAAGTGCCATTGAGTCGACTCCCACTCCTAGCGACCCTTTATAGAGCGGGTTTGAACTGCTGACCTTGTGGCTTGCAGTCCTCTGCTGATTCTACAGCACCGCACCAGGAGATAGCAGTGCTTTGCAGTTTGTCAGCTTGGAAGTTAGAACTTTCAAGATTCTTAAAGTTAAGAAAGGTTAGATTCTCAAAGGCTTCCTCTTTCCTGAATTACACTTTCAAAATGTTTAAATGTCTACTATCTGCTTCTCTTATCTTTTTTCATCTGGACCCTGATGTTATTTTAAATGTCCCCCTTTCACTCATTTCACCACACCCATTTGTAAACACGTCCTTTCAAATACATCCCACCCTTATAGCTCACTCCTTTTATTTTCATCAGTATTTTCCTGCTGAAATTCAGGGCAGTATCACTTGGGTTTTTACAATAGATCTTCAATAATTTCCTCGAGCAGGTTTGCATAGTAGTAAAAGATGGCATTATCATCATGATGGCTTCAACGCTAGCTTTTTACTTGATCACCCTTTTAAGCATGTTCTTCTATTACTAAATGGTGTTATTTCTTACCTCATAATGTTGTTGTGACTCATAATGTAAATGAAACAAGGTACTTGAGACACCGTTGCTTTGTACCTGGCACAATAAACGTCTTCAGTAAATGGTAGCTTTCAATGCATTTTATACACTAAAGCGAGAGTAAGCCCAGGCATATTTGGCTTGTGTGTCTTGATCAATTAAGTCTCTTATTAAACATTCTGCAATCTCTCCTCTCTGTTACCTAGGGAATGAAATTAAAACTCCATGCAAGCCTCTGCTTTCAAAACATAATGCAGTTTCAGAATGTTTATGAAAATAGAAAGTGTAAAGTTTTAATAGTAGAGGTGCAGGTTAAAGTTGTATTTACTGAAAGATAAAAATCATTCTAAGATCTCTAGGTACACTTCAGCTTTCAAACATGGTTAATTGACAGGGCATATCCATGTTATCATGCTCAGCTTTAAAGGTGTTTAAATGTAGTCAAGTATGTGCTTCCTGTAACTAGGATCATCCCTGCCATGTTCTTGTTGTCCTCTTATTTTCACACAATGATATGGCAAAATGCTGTTAACCATATAGTGGCATAGATGCTGAAATACAAACAGAAGTGCTACTGTTCAGTTTTTTCCCTGTTAGGTTGCAGCTGCCAATAGAAACTTTTCGTAATTGTTTATTAGCTGATATAAACCTAAACCACATTGGCATACACTTGATTACAACACATAGTGACCTTCTAGGACAGAACAAACTGCTCCACAGGGTTTCCAAGGCTTTCTTCATCTTTGTGGGAGTAGATTGCCATATCTTTGTACCACAAAGTTGCTGGTGGGCTATTTGATTTCTTATGAACTAATATGTTGTTAAGTGTCATTGAATTGGTTCTGACTCATAGTGACTCTGGGTTTGAATTAGCAACCTTATATTTAGCAGTCCAGTGCTTGTCCATCAGTGCTACGCCAGGACTCGTGAGCTAATATTTTGCATGCTTGACCATCAAATGAAAAGAAGCTCTGGTAGCATAGTGGTTACAAGTTGGGCTGCTAGCCTGAAGGTCAGCAATTCAAACTTGCTAGCCATTCTGCAGGAGAAAGAGGAGGCTTTCTGCTCCCATAAAGATTTACAGCCTCAGAAACCCCATACAGGGTCACTATGAATCAGAACCGATTCCACGGCACATACCCAACCAGCCAACTATAGTTATTTAGAGAAAAACTATGCAGTCCTTTAAAAAAACAAAAAGCAATGAAAAAACCTGTATTATGTAGAATTAAATATTTAAGCCTGAGGGAGAATGTATGCAAGCAGAAAAGTAAAAAATTGCTTCCAGGGTTCCAGCTCATACATGCACAGGTTTATTCCAAACCAAATGTGTTTTAAATATGTCTTTGTGATCAGTGAATGCCTGCAGACAGTCTTCTCAGTAACACACATGCTGTAGTCTTGTTAAAGTGCCTTCAAACAAAGATCCGCTAAACACAGTGACTTTTAAAGAAAGCTTTACAATCTTCTAAAGTTCACCTTGTTCTTGTTGTTAAGTGCCATTGAGTCGTTTCCGACCCATAGCGATCCTGTATATGATTTCCAAGGAATGAATGATAAGCTTGAACACTGACCTTGAGGTTCAAACCGACTTTGCAGTCCAGTGCAAGACAGAGAGGTCAGCTCAGAAGGTTCTCGTGACTGTTATTTGAATTTCCAAAGGAGTAATCTTGGTAGATTTTCTTGATGGTCATAGGATAATTACAGGAGCTCATTAGGAAGAAGCACATTTGAAAACTTCATTGGTGAGAAAAAGGCCTAGAAAGTTGTCCCAAACAATTTTTTTCCCCCATTACAATGCACCTGCTCATTTTTCAGGCATAGCTTGGCATTCCATCTACCGTATAGCCCTTATCTTGCCCCATGAGACTTCTTTTTGTTTAAAAATCAAGGAATATTTAAAAGGAGTACAATTTGAGTCCTTCAAGGATACCCAGACTGCCATTTTGATGTGGTATAACTTGAAGAGTTTAGAACTCCTCAGGGAAGTAATATGCCAATAGTTTAACAATAGTTGTTTCAGGATGAAATGATGATAGGTCATTATTTCTTGTTGCTTCATCCATAATGTTTAGTTTTATCGCACTATACCTGGTTTTCTTTGGAGTCCTGGTGTGGTGCTACGGGATGAAGCACAGGAATGCAAGGCTGGTTTGAATCACCAGCTTGGTCATTCAAACTCATGTGTTGCTCCTTGGAAACTCTATACAGGATTGTTATGAGTCGGAACTGACTCAATAGCATTTAACAACAACATATTTGTTTTACTTCTGAAAAAATTTTTACATTTTAAAAAGTAATTTAAATATTCAGCCTTCTAATCAATAGTTCAAATTCAATCCATCTATTTAATTCTGATTATTTAGCTGCCCTACAAAATTCCTGATTTTTTTTATCTCATTGTTATAATTTGAGTATACTTTATGTACAACATTTCCCATATTCTAATTGTGTTAGTAAGGAGCTCTGGTAGCGTAGTGGTTACGAATTGGGCTGTGAACCTTAAGGTCAGCAGTTTGAAACTACCAGCCACTCCGCAGGAGAAAGATAAGGCTTTCTGCTCCCATAAAGATTTACAGCCTTGGAAACCCTGTACAGGGTCACTATGGGTTGGAACCGACTTGACAGCACTTAACAACAACAACAATTGTATTATTAGTGAAATGGAGACTTCATTTCCTTTGGTTGATTAGCAATTATTGTTCTGAACCCCAGTAGCAGTTAACATAATCCTATACATAATCCTATAAATAGTAGAACTGTGTTCATAGTTCTAATAGTGGCCTTACAATTGATTTTTGAAAGAAAAACAGAAGGAAACAATGAGTAAAGAAATTGTATAATCTTGATATTGCATATTATGCATTTTAAATCCCCTCAGTGAAAAGTTCATGTATGGCAGCCTTTCTAATTATAACCAGTAGGTACAGGTCAAACAAAAAAAAGTTCATTAGCCTGAAGTAAATGCCTTTCTCTGTAACACCAAACAAAACAAAGCAGGCTGTAAAACTCAGAGGTATGAGTATCATTTTTTTGCTTTGAACAAAAGGGGAAAAAAACACCAGAATTTGTTATTTCAGCATTATTTCCAAAATTGCCTATTTTACTTATATGATCATTTCACCTTCATGAATTTAATATCCTTTGTATAAAGGATAAAAGTAAACAAACTGTTATGCTCCTTCGTTTGCTGCATTAGAAATTTCCCTCTAAGTCTCACAACAGTGTCGATGGTTTTTAAGCTTGGGTTTATATATATCATGAATGTGGTTCGCCCAAGACATCATAAATCAACTGCAATGCCTTTTCGATACACAGGAACACAGAGGTGTTGAGTAATCTTCACTGTTCTATAATGACCATCTCCATACACACACACAAAAGTGACTGTCAAAGTTAATCCTAAGAGTTGGATTGGTCCACTTATCTCCGTGTGTATCTGAAAACCCGAGCATTAGCTACTAACAGGATATGTCTATCTCACTCTGTGTTTTGAATCTTAGAGAATCATTACTCTTCACAATTTAAGTTTGGGTTTGTCATCTCCTACAAATTACACTACTTCTCCTTTACTTCAGGCAGTTGTCACATTTTATTTTCTCATTTTCTTTTGATGCATTGTATATTTTAAATTCCTTTCACTTTTTTACACCTCTTACTTCAATTTGACACTTTACACACATCCTTAACTTGTCTAATGCAGTTTGCCTTAATTTAAAAAAGAGATGTACCCTGGATATATAAGCTGTCCTCTTGATCCATCTTTCATTTAAATAAGGCTATGTATCTTTTTTTTTTTTTTTAATAACATATGCAGCACAAAACAAAACCCCCCATCTGTTCACCCTGTGAGTCACTGGTCTCTTCTGATTAGGAATAAACCACATTTTCCTTTTAGGATTATGAAGTTAATATTTCCTATAATTTCAAAATGTAGTATCAAGAGAGAGACACTAAAACCTTAAAGGTTTACTTTAATCTTTTACCTTAAAGAACAGAGAAAACATTTCAATGTGAGATACCTGCATTAAACCATCGATTAAAAAAACCCAAACAAACAGCAATGTGCACTGTTTGCCTTTATGCTAAAACCATGTGCTGAACTTTTTAGCTGTATCTTGAAAAAATGTGATTATGCTCACAGTCAATATAAAGGAATACTTCTTTGCACTGTTTTTTACATTGTCCTCTATTGAACAGTAGTTCATTTTACATGACTTTTTTTTCTTTTTTACCTTTACATATAAATATCTGTTAGTAATGTATTGCTTTTCTTGTTTCATATTTTACCCATCCCCTGTGGTGTATTAAACCATGTTTTTGTTTTCCTTCCCTGTTCTTCGCCATCTTGGGATGGTGAGGATGGTTTTTCTTCTCTTCCATGTTATCATCAGGTGGCTGGAGAGAGATATGTCTACAAATTTGTGTGTGATCCAGAAGCCCTTTTCTCCATGGCCTTTCCAGATAATCAGCGCCCTCTGCTGAAGACAGACATGGAACGTCACATCAACGAAGAGGACACAGTGCCTCTGTCCCACTTTGACGAGAGCATGGCCTACATGCCTGAAGGGGGCTGCTGCAATCCTCACCCCTACAGTGAAGGCTATGTGTATTAACACAAGTGACAGTCACAGAGGGCATCCTCTCGCTTTTCCTCTCTTTTGAGATGCAGAGAATCTCTGAATTCTCTTCAATCTTTGTTTTATTTTTGTTGTTGTTGTTGTTTGTATTTTATTTTTAAATAATAATACAAAAAAGGGGCTTTTCCTGTTGCATTATTCTATGGTCTGCCATGGACTGCGCACTTTATTTGAGGGTGGGTGGGAATAATCTAAACATTTATTCTGTGTAACAGGAAGATAATGGGTTAATGGGTGGGGGGGCTCGGGGATTACTTTTTACTTAGGCTTGGGATGGGGTTCTACAGGTTTTAATTATAATGATGCTATATCATGTCTGATTTCATAACAACGTAAGATAATGTTCATTTTCTCGGGGCTATCTATGGTACAGTTAATTCACATTATGTAAATACCACTTGGAAACTATTTACCGAGTGATATGCCTTGGGCAACCCCTGTTCCATTATTTCTGAGTCTCTGCAGGTGTGCAAAAGAAACATCTACTGTAAATGGCAGTTAGTTCACGTGTTAAAAATAACTTTTTGCACCTCTTGTAAAAAAAGTATTTAGAGATTGCATTTGCCATATTTTGTTTTGCTTTATATATGACTCATAGAGGAAAACCATAAAATGGTAATTCTCTGTTCATGAGGGGCACAATTTTGGACTCTGGCTCCAAACTGAGTCGCAGGCCAGTAGCATTACATGTATCTGTTGCCACCTTGCTGTTTAGATACTGTCTTTTAAATATTTTCAAGCCCATTTCAGTTGTATAATGACATGTCATGGTCCTTTGGGATCTCATTTAAATGCTAAATCTGGGATTACAATGAAGCAAAAAATATGTCTCCTTTCACTTCCTTTAGTACATAAATACATTATTTAATCAGTAAGAATTAACTGTACTAAATCACATATTATGCTGTTCTAGATGCAACAAGCACTCCTTAAGGAAAAAAAAAATCCAATACACTAAATAGGTACTATAGTAATTTTTAGACATGGTACCCATTGGTATGCATTTAGACCTTTTACTGCCGTGTTATGTTGATAACATATATAAATATTAGATAATGCTAATGCTTCTGCTGCTGTCTTTTCTGTAATATTCTCTTTCATGCTAAATTTACTATGACCATTTATAAGCAATGCAATTAACTACAGATAGCATTTCAGGACAAAATAGATGACTCGAACCATTTATTGCTTAAAAATAGCTTATGCCATGCTATGCTATAAGCAGCTTTTATGCACATTGACAAATGAAGAGTAAGCTTCAGCTTGCTAAGGGAAACTGGAAACTTTTGTAACTTTTGGTGAAATTGAAAATTATTTACAAATTGTCAAAGAATATGATGAAGTTGCTGTATGACATAGTGCTGGCACTGGTATGATCCTTCATTTGGTTTTAGACCCATGTAAATGTGATTGGATTGTTTGAAGAAAGATTGAAAGTTTCAAAGTTTTTGTTTTGTGTTTGCTTTTCATTTGGAGAAAATACTGAAAACAGGGCATGTGGTTCTATTCACTTTGAAAAACCATTAAGGAAATGATGTTGATCAATAACCTGCTAAAAGGTTCAAGGTAAAAGACATGAATTCTGTTCATTCCATGGGTATCCCACAGGAATAACTTTTTTTCAGATTCTATAAAAAAATGTTAAAAATACATAAATAAGTAAATACAAATAAATCTATGAGAGCATTTCATGAAAAGCCTAGGAAATATTGTTGAAAGATGACCCCTTCAGCTACACATTTTCTAGCACTACAAATTCTCAAAATAGAATAGTTATTGGGAAGCTATTCTATTCCATTCACATTTGATTTACCATGTGGTTACTGTTCTGTTGATCAGATGTCATCCGGCTCATTATGGGCTAATAACTATGCCTTAAGAATCAGAACTTTTGTTTTGTTTTTCACTATGTTCATGTGGCCATTACAGCACTTAAAAACAGATTTTAAAATACTCAGCTAATGTTAAATTTAAAAGAGAATGAGATGATCAGATAGGTTGAAGGAACAAAATTTAAATGGGTCATTTAAGTAAGAGCTAAATGAAAATTATATTGAGAAACTTTTTTCCTTTTTTTTTCATATTTTAGAAAAATGTTATAATTTTAACTCTAGACTGCCAGTAGGAAGCAATTGGGCCATGAAGTAATGAATCAAAGAAAGAAACAGAATTAATAATATAATATTTAAAAATAAATGATCTATTTTGCTGTTTAATGTAGTAACTCACTGAATAAGTAGTAATTGGCCAATATTAAGTATTTTCCCAATATAGTATAAATTCTTGAAAAATGTTTTTTAAATTTTGGTTTTGTTTTCTTTTTTAATATTCTGTTTTTATTCTGCATCTTTGGTTGTGATTTTATTTTCCATTAGATTAATAAATCTGGCAGCTGATTTCTGCAAAAATCCTTGTGTTTTGAATTTCTAATTAATTTGGCTAATCAAACATAGAACTCAGTTCATGCTATAATGTCTTCCTCCAACTTGGTGAAATAAACTAAAATATTTCCACTAGTAGTTGCTGCCTCATGGTGATGACATGCGAACACTCAACAATCTTATCCTAACGAAGACTGTTCCATTCCCAATGACTAATGGAAAATGATTCTGCTTCAGCTATGTGTGTAAAAAAAATAAAAATCCACAAAGTTCACAGTTCAGAGTAGTTTTCTGCATTAATAGATAAATGTTAGAAGTTATTTACTTAAAATTTTAAAACAGGTTGTATTACTTTCTCGTTGCTGCTATAAACAAATCACCACCAATTTAATGGCTTGAAATATGTTCTTAGCTAGTTTGGGAGGTCAGAAATCCAAAAGAGGTTTGTTGTTAAATGCCATCGAGTCAGTTGCGACTCATAACGACTCTGTATAGGGCTTCCAAGGAGTGGCTGATGAGCTTCAACAACCAACCTTGCAGTTCAAATTAATCTTGTGGTCCAGTGCATTATCCTGCAGTGCCATATTAACACTCCAAAAAGGTGAAAATTGATGTGTCAACAGTTTGGTTCCTTCTGCAGACTTCAGGGTAGAATTATGTTCTTGCCTCTTCTGCTTCTAGAGATTGCCAGCATTCCTTGGCTTCTGGCTGCATCCCTCCAATCCATGCTGTGGTGCTCACATTCCCTCATCTTCTGTAATCATATCTCCTTTGGCTTATTTCTTATAAGGACACATATGATTACATATACAGTGCCTGTGAGCAATCCAGGATAATATCATCACTTCAAAAGTCTTAACCATATTTGCAAATTACTTTTGCTCTAAAAAGTGCCAATCTCAAATCTCATATGTTCTAGGAATTAGGACATGAATATCTTGTGTGAGAGTGGGAGTGGAAAGGTGGCATTAGTCAGCCTATCACACAGAAGAAGACTGTGTACTAAAAATATTAACTGATTTACCTCTGGACAAAAAAAAATATAGATAGATAGATAGAAAGAGGGGGAAAGATTTATTTATTAGAAATCTGTGAAGGATTTTTTAAAATTTTATTACCATTCAGGTATTCTTCCATGTTTTCACAAAAATGGTACTGAAAGTAATGCTGTGTTAAGGCATGTCCATTCCACTAAAGCACCTGATATTCACATTAAGCTAGCTTCTACATATTTATTTTCCCCAGATAAACAGCATGTAATGATGGAAAAAATAAATATATGAGTAACAGCATATATAATTCCATTTTTTTTTAACCAGATTATAATTTTAATAATTTCTTTTGATACTAGTATGAGTTTTTGCTATGCGGCCTTAACTCTTTCAAATGATTGCTATGTATTCAATAAAAACAATACATAAAATATACCTATTACTCAAAATGAAAACTAAAATATGAGTTAAATTACCTTTATCTTATTATGGTGATTCAGAAATAATACTTTTGTTTCAGTATTTGGTAAATTCAAAGTTTTGTGTGTTTTTTTTTTAATTATCCACTTGGTGCATTTTAAAGCATTTTTAGAGCTTATAATGAGTAAACATAAGAGGAGTTGTTGTTAGGTGCCATTGAGTTGGTATGGACTTATAGAAACCTTATGCACAGCAGAACAAAACACTGCCCGATCCTGGGCCAACCTCACTACTGTTGCCATGCTTGAGACCATTGATGCTGCCACTTGGCCAATCCCATCTCATTGGAGGTCTTCCTCTTTTTCTCTGACCCTCCACCTTACCAAACATGATATACTTCTCCAGAGACTGGTCCCTCCTGACAATACATCTGAAGTATGAGAGACAAAGTTTTACCATCTTGGCCTCCAAGGAGCACCCTGGTTGCACTTCTTCCAACGTAGATCTGTTGGTTCTTTTGGCAGCCCATGGCACGTTCAATATTCTCCTCTAACACCATTAATTCAAAAGTATCAATTCTTCTATGGTCTATCTATCTTATTCACTGTCCAGCTTTCTCATGCATAAGAGGTTATTGAAAATACCATGGCTTGGGTCAGGCGTACCTTAGTCCTCAAGCTGACATCTTTGCTCTTCAACTCTTTAAATAAGAATTGTGTAGCTGATTTGCCTAATTCAATATGTCATTTGATTTTCTGATTGATGCTCCATGAGTGTTGATAGTTGGTCCAAGAAGAATGAAGTCCTTGACAACTTCAATCTTTTCTCCATTGATAAGAATGTTGTTTATTGGTCTATGGGTGAGGGTTTTTGTTTTCTTGACATTGAGATGTAATCCATACTGAAGGCTGTGTTCTTTGATCTTCATCAGTAAATGTTTTAAGTCCTCTTCACTTTCAGCAAGCAAGGTTGTATGATCTGCATATCGAAGGTTGTTAATGACTCTTCCTGCAATCCTGATGCCACGTTTTTCTTCATATAACCCAGCTTCTCAGATTATTTGATCATCATACAGGTTGAATAAGTATGGAGAAAGAATACAACCTTGTCGCACACCTTTCTTAATTTTAAACCATTCAGTGTTGCCATGTTCTGTTTGAACAACTGTCTCTTGGTCCATATAGATTCCTCATGAGCAAAATTAATTGTTCTGGAATACTCATACTTCTCAATATTGTCCACAGCTTGTCATGCATGATCCATACAATCAAAGACCTTTGCATAGTCAATAAAGCACAGGTAAACATCTTTCTGATATTCTCTGCTTTCAGCCAAGATCATCAGCAAAGATATCCCTCATTCTACCGCCTCTTCTGAATCCAGCTTGAACCTCTGGAAGTTCTCTGTCAATGTATGCTTGCAGCCATTTCTGTATTACCTTTAGTAAAACTTTAGTCGCATGGGATATCAAAGAGATTGTCTAATGATTTCTGCATTCCGTTGGGTCACCTCTCTTTGCAATGGGCACAAATACAGATCTCTTCCAATCAGTCGGCCAGATAGTTGTCTTCCAAATTTCCTGGCAGAGATGAGTGCTTCCTGTGCCGCATCACTTTCTTGAAAGATTTCAATTTTGATTCCATCAATTCCTGGTGCCTTGTTCTTTGCCAATTCCTTCAATGCACTTTGGACTTTTTCCTTCAGTATCATTGGCTATTGATCATATATATGCTACCTCTTGAAACAGTTGAACATCAACCATTTCCTTTTGGTACAGTGACTCTGTGCATTCCTTCCATCTTCTCTTGATGCTTTCTGCATCATTCAATAATTTGCCCAGAGAATCTTTCAATAACGAAAGTCGAGACTTGAATTTTTTTCTTCAGTTCCCCCAGCTTGAGAAATGCTGCATGTGTTCTTTTTTGGTTTTCTGACTCTAGGTCTTTGCACATTTTGTTGTAATATTTGGCTTTATCTTCTTGAGCTGGTCTTTGAAATTTTCTGTTCAGTCATATACCTCTTCATTTCTTCCATTTGCTTTAGCATCTCTGTGCTGGAGGACAAGTTTCAGTGTCTCTTCTGACATTCATTTTGACCTTTTCCTTCTTTCTTGTCTTCTTAATGACTTTTTGCGTTTTTCATGTATGATGTTCTTTATGTCATTCCACAACTCTTCTGGTCTTCAGTCTTTAGTGTTTAATGTATCAAATCTGTTCTTCAGATGATCTCTAAAATTCAGGTGTGATATATTCAAGATATATATTTGTCTCTTGTGAACTTGTTTTCATTTTCTTCAGCTTTAGTTTGAATTTGCATATGAGTAATTGATGGTCTGTTCCACAGTCTGCCCCTAGCCTTGTTTTGACTGATGATGCAGAGCTTTTTCATCGTCTCTTTCTGCAGATGTAGTCAATTTGATTTCTGTGTATTCCATCTAGTGAGGTTCATGTATATAGTTATCTCTTATGCTGTCTAAAGAAGGTATTTGAAATTTAAAAAATTATTTTTGCAAAATTCTATCATGCGTTTTCCAGCATCATTTCTATCACCAAGTCTATATTTTCCATCTACTGATACTTCCTCTTTGCTCCCAACCTTTGCATTCCAATCACCAGTAATGACCAATGCATCTTGATTGAATGTCTTATCAATTTCTGATTGAAGAAGTTGGTAGAATTCTTTTATTTCAAGCCACTAAACCTTTACCAGAAGCAGATTGCAACATCTTCCTCCCATTAAATCCCTAATGAGTTCAAACTCACTAGCTTTAGTGGTTGGTGCATAAATTGGAACAATAGTGGTATTAACTGGGCTTCCCTGTAGATGCATGAATATTATATCACAGACAGCGTTGTACTTCATGACTGATCTGAGTATCTTCCTTTTGACAATGAATGCAACACCATTCCTCTTCAATTTGTCATTCCAGTCATAGTAAACCATGTGGTTGTTAGATTCAAAAT